AAAACAATTTATAATTTAAAATGAACATAAAAACTTAAGAAAATTTAGTTCACATTAAAAGTAAAAACGAGTTTCTTATGATACCATACATTCTAGTGACACTGATTAAAAATATGTCAGATACACTTACAAGTGTAAAGGTGACAAATTGCCTCATGGTAATAAGTCACCACATGGGACGTGGTGGCGCTGCGGGCTAAACCGCAGAAGCCTGTGCTGCAGGGGCAGAAGACCAGCAGTCGTAAGATCGAATCCACGTGACGGAGTGAGCTCCCATCGCTTGTCCCAGCTCCCGCCAACCTAGCGGTTTGAAAGCATGCAAATGCAAGTAGATAAATAGGGACCACCTCGGTGGGAAGGTAACAGCGTTCCGTGTCTAAGTCGTGACCATGGAAGATTGTCTTAGGACAAAATGCTGGCTCTATGGCTTGGAAAGGGGGGTGAGCACCGCCCCCTAGAGTCGAACACGACTGGACAAAAAATTGTCAAGGGGAACCTTTAAAAAAAAAGTCACCACATACCTTATGTGGTTACCAAAAAGAAAAGAAATTATTAATCATTCACCTCTACAGGGAAGATAACATCAAAACCTCTTGCCCTGAAAGCCACCATATAATAATCTAAGATATCTGAAGTATAGCTCCCACTAACAACCTTTTCAGACTCTGTAACTTAAATATAGCTTAAAACTGTAACTTACCATTCATTATCCAGGGTAGTTCAAAGATCACAATTTTTGCTGCAAATATAGAATGTTTTGTTACAAAAAACTTATTAAATATTGCCATTTTGAATTATTAGTGTTCAGTGACTGCTGAACTGAAGCTCATTTGAAACACATTTGTTTTAAAGAAATGGCATGTTTTCCTCCATTTTTTGTGTTAATGTGAAACATCCAAACAAGCACTAACACCGTAAGGACTAACAAGACAAAATGAATTACTAAAGGGTGTGTATGTGTAATGCATGTACTCAAAAGAAAGCCACACTTCTGTGAGCTGAACAGGCTTTTAGCTTCCATTCGAATGACACTCAGGTGTCTATAACTAAACTGGAACCAGTCTAGTCTTATCCCAATCAAGCAGCTCTACACAAAAAATTTTTCCTATTCACTTCAAATATGGGAGACATTTCTCACCAGCATCACATTCCTTGACTTTTCTACTGAAGAAATTCCTTGACTTTTCTACTGAAGCAAAGCAGAAAGGAGCCATATGTGTTATCTGAGCTGGGAAACTACAGCAACAACCTTTGGAACAATCTGGGATCTTAAACTATCTTCTGAAGGTTTGCTAAAGATCTTGGCTTCTTCCAAAGCTCATAATACAATGGTGCCTCAACTTATGAACGTCCCGACTTACGACCATTTCGAGTTACGACCAGCTCCAGACACTAAGTTTTGCTTCGACTTGCGGCCAGAGCCTCGAGTTACAAGAAAAAGGCAGGGGGAAAAAGGTGGGAAATTCAAACTGCTAACTTCTGGTAGGCAAAGTGACTGCTTCTTTGTAGCTCTTTTGTTCCAGCAGTTAGGGAGTATGCGTTGGTAAGGTAAGGTGCTGCTTTCTGCTTTTTAAAAACTGTTCTAGGTGGGTTTTGCAGTGTGGCTTTGGGCTAGGGGGGTTATGTTTCTGTGCTGTGATGAGTCCTGGGAGGTTTGTTTGTTTTTGGGTTCCCGCCCCATTTCTGATTCTGGGGAGACTGCTTGCTTTCTGGAGTTTCCCCCCACCAATTCTGATGGGCCTTAGGGGTTTGTTTGCTTTTTTGGAAACCCCCCCCCATTTCTGAGGAGTCTTGGGGGGGTTGGTGCTTTGGTTTCCTCCCATTTCCGATGTGTCTTGCATGCTTCGCTTGCTTTTTGCTTTGCTTTCCCCCCTTTCCGATGTGTCTTGCATGCTTCGCTTGCATTTTGCTTTGCTTTCCCCCCCTCTTTCCAATGTGTCTTGCATGCTTTACTTGCTTTCTGCTTTGCTTTCCTGATGTGTCAATTTCTGATGTGTCTTGCATGCTCTGCTTGCTTCCCCCCCCCCTTCGGCTGGAATGGATTAATCCTGTTTCCAATGGGTCTTGCAGTGATTTTTTTTGGTGATTTTTTTTCCTTCAGCCAGAACGGATTAATTGCATTTGAATGCATTTCAATGGGAAATGGTGCTTCGACTTATGACTATTTTGCATTATGCCCATCTTCTGGAACAGATTAAGTTTGTAAATTGAGGTACCACTGTACTAGTTTTCTAGTTGGGAGGACACAATGTTTTCCAGTTTGGGCAAGACAGGAAAATGTAGTAAAAGATTTCTGGGTTAATTATGCAAAAAGGCTCATTTACATTTTGACTAGTAAGTTGAGATATAATTATCTAAAGTCAAAGTGAAATACAGATTGCTGGTGCACACTATCCTACTTGTTCTATTTATTTATAGAGTGCCTATCCGACAGTTAAACAAGTTTCTGTATTCCTCCTTAACAAATTCACTGCCCAACCTTTCACATGAACTTAAATACTGGGGGGTAAGCCCATTTGTTAGCTTCAATCAGAACAGAACTATAGCTTATTAACCATCTAAATGGTTGAATGATGAAGCTTCCTAGTTGTGGTATAACCTTTAAAGACTACGGTGTGGGCATACTTGCTGCGAATAATTATTTCTACTGCAAAAGGAAAAAAAGTACAATTTTCGGTCTTTTTATGTTGACTGCAGTGAGTGTGCACCTCCACTTTACAGACAAAATATTTATGGGGAGTAAGCGAATGGATAGCTTGAAAGTTTATGTCATTAATCTGCTTCTTAGAAACACCCAGTGCTAATAATTATTCTTCACACTGCTACTATGCTATTTCAAAGCTTCCCTTCTCAGAAACTGTATTTGATAACCACTAGATCACCAGTCCATTGGACTTTTCTACAGCTGAGCTGATATACAGTGGTGCCTCGCATAGCGATGTTAATTGGTTCCAAAAAAACATCGCTATGTGAAACCATCGCTATGCGAAACACCATTTCCCATAGGAATGCATTGGAAACCGGTTAATCCGTTCCAATTGGAACGGATTGCCGTTGTTAAGCGAAAAAACCCATAGAAAACATTGCTAAGCGAAACAATGTTTCCTCCATTGGAATGTATTGAAGCTGACTCAATACATTTCAATGGCTTTTGCGAAGTCAATTTTTGCAAAATTAAGTGTGCCATAAAAGGGTCAAAAATGGTTTTAAATGCTTGGATTAGCTTCTGCACCCTCTAAAACGGATGCAAAAGTTAATTTGGCTTTGATCTGACTTTTCGTTAATTTTTTCTGAATTTTTTCCCCCCAACTTTGACAGCTGTCAAAATCTGACAGCTCCATTATTTCCTATGGGGGAAGAAAAAATTCACAAAAAATTAACGCTCAGCAACTGTTCTAAATGCTTGGGTTCGTTAGAGGACCCCTTAGGTCGTGTGCAAACCTGATTTGGCTTTGATCTGAACTTTTGTTAATTTATGGTGAATTGTTTTCTCCCCCATAGGAAAGCATGGAGCTGTCAGATTTTGACAGGTCCATTAGTTCCTATGGGCCAAAAAAAAAGAAAAATTCACAAAAAATTAACGAAAAGTCAGATCAAAGCCAAATCAGGTTTGCACATGACTTAAGGGGTCCTCTAACGAATCCAAGCATTTAGAACCGTTTTTTACCCTTCTAAGACACTTTTTTAATTGAAAAAAGAAACATCGTTAAGTGAAGCAGGGGACCTAAAATCGCATTCGTTATGCGAAGCATGGTCCCAAACTTCGCTAAGCGAAAATCGCCCATAGGAAACATCGTTATACGGTGCATATTATTTTCTTAAAAAACACATCGTTATGCGAATTCATCGCTAAACGGGGCAATCGTTAAGCGAGGCACCACTGTATAATACAAATAATACAATCATACTTACTGAGGTAATTGGGATAATACACTTTAAAACAGCTAATGATATATCGAACGAAGTCCAGGTCCTAAAATAAAGCATATTACCAATGAACAATAATACTGAACCCTATATACAACAGCTTTTGCCTCAAAGGAATGTTCTAGCTTCTAGCTTCTCCAATTGCCTCTGAAGTATAAGAAGTAGATTAGGATGGTATATGGAAAAGAACTGCTGAACAACAAAACAATAAGGTTTTTTTATGTGTATCAAGGGCAACATTATTATTGTATTTTAAAAACATGTCTTTTTATCTGAAAAAATTCCAAACTCTCATGATTCTTAAATAATTCTATTAGATGAAAACAACACATTAAAATCACTTCATAAGGTTATTCTGTACAAATAGGCTTGACAAGGATGGTTGAGAGATCATTTCTAGTGAAACGGTGGTCAGAATCCTCTTCCAGAGCTAGTAGAATTCTTCAAGAAGATATTGACCAATAAAGTCCTTTTTGTCCTGTAAATTGTTGTCAGCTAGCTGATAGCCCAACCTAGTCACAATACTAGCAGAGATGAAAGATATAGAGAGCTGTATTATTTTTCTAAATTATTATAGAATCAGTTGTGAGAACAATGCTAAATCTCATTAATTTCAATGGAACATTGTTCCAAAAGAGCATGAACAACTGCATCAGTTTCTACTATAAACTATGCACATATTACATCTATACTAATTTGGGTTGTGATTTATGAACTACTTAATCTAGAATATTTAGATTTCTGCGAAAGGCTAAAGAACTAATTTAAATCTAAATATGCTAATTTAAAGCATTTGTAGATAAGGCTGTTTATAACAAAAAAGCAACATTCAAGGAATATCATCAAAATAAAATAAAGAAAAGCAGGCTTACGATGTTACTCAGTCCAGTTTCAGCCATGTCAAACACCACTGTCAAAGGCTTCCCATTTTCCCTTTTCGCATAGCGTTCTAACCAAAAGGCTGCTAGTTTCTTTCTTTCAAATTGAGTTTTATGATCTTTCGTATGAAGTTTCACCCTGAACCAAACTAAGAAAACAAACATATATATGTTTATGCCAAAAAAATCCAAAATTCAGCTAAACAAATTGGAGATGAAACATTTTTAACGTTTTTTTTAATTAGTACATGTTATATAAGACAATTCTCTATGCCTCTGTTCCCTGAAACTTTTGGGTAAAAAATGACAAGTGAAAAATTATCTGATATAAAAATTATGGAACTATAAATATAACTGTTCCTCATTTTCTGAAATATGGACCCAAGACTTAAATACTGCTGAAGTAGAATGAATTCTTCACAATGAACAAGTTATTCTTTTTAGCAGAAAACAGCCAAACACTTTCCTAGAGAGTAAGAGGCAATCTACAACACATGTATGTACAAATCTACTCAGAAGTAATTCTTACTCATCCAATCTGGTTTAATTCCTGATAACCAGACACAGGATTCAAGAACAGATGGATTATACACAATATGATCTGTGCTGATTTCACGTCAACTAGAGTATGAATTCCAAGTATGGATTCCAGAGTAGACTACATTCTCATCCATAATCAACAGAATTGCTGTCAGTTACGTGAGGTCACTTTGAAATGCCAACCCCATGAATTCCTCAAGTAAACCCAGTAAGACTGCACATTTAAGGCATCAATCTCATCAAAATTAATCAGAATATATGTATTTATTTTAACAAAACCGGATCACACCAAACATCCTTCCTAAGGAATAATGACTACTGTGATGAAAAACTGAACAGGAAGATTGGAACTAGCAGACAGAGGAACATACAAAGGATGGAAGAATCAGTAATCACTGTATTAGAATCAAGTCTCAAGGAAAAAAGGAACAAAACTCACACCCCAAATGTTTTCTAATATGATGTGGTTAAGTTTCAGATTACGCTAAAAATACCTGATCTTAAAAAAATTAGAGTATTTATCTACAGTGGTGCCCCGCAAGAGGGGTGCTCCGTTTGACGATGAAAGCGCATCACGACGAACTTTTTGCGATCGCAAAAGCGATTGCAGAACGATGTTCCCTATGGGGGAATTTCGCTTTGCGATGATCGGTTCCCTGCTTCGGGAACCGGTCATTGCAAAGCGCTGATTTTTTAACAGCTGATCGGCGGTTTCAAAATGGCTGCCGGGTAAAAAAAATGGCCGCCCACTGTGTTTTCGCATGGATTCCTAGCTGCACAGGCAGTGAAAATGGCCACGCTATGGAGGATCTTCGCTGGACGGTGAGTTTGAAACCCCTAGGAATGCATTAATCTGGTTTTAATGCATTTCTATGGGCTTTTTAAAATCGCATCACGTTTTCGTTCTACAGCGATTTTGCTGGAACAAATTAACGTCGTGATGTGAGCCACCATTTAATTTTTATACTGCCTCATTAATGAAATGCACTGTTCAGGGTGGTTTACAGACTAAAAACTGAACAGTAAAAGAACAATACATCAAAACAATAAAAATAAAAATTTAAAAGTAATAAAAAATTAAAAGCAGGAGAAACATCAGCTGTTTATAACATGCTCTCTCAATGAAATAAAGGCAAGGCCTTCCAATCTTCATATTACATACTACCAGGTACTATTCATTGTGTATCATAGTGGTTTTTAAATTATCTTTGTACAAATATATACCAAGACCTTATGCCATGGTACACGTAAGGGCAACATTTTTCCATTTCTCAGCCTGCCTGATCAATCATATAATTAGATGCATAATCAACTGAGCAATCTGCTTAAGACCAGATGCATAATGGGCAGTCCAGGAAACAAGTCACATTACTTGCACCATTGCCCGTAAAATATAATGTAGCACAAAAAGATAATGTCCATAGATATCAAAGGGCTGGATCTGTACTTAGTAATATGTAAGAAGAGAACTACTGAAATGAATGGAACTTATATAAGTCATTATGATTTGTTGTTTCTTCTTGCTTCACTATTAAGGTCATATCAATACAGATAGCAAGGAACAGAAACACTCACATTTAATTTCACTGATTCCAAGAGACATATTGCAAATATGACTAAGTCAGAATCCTACTAATAATTGGTTACTCTCTGTATACTTTAAAGGTTTGTTTTTTCTTCTAAAGCATGATTATATTTGCCTTTTGATAATGAAGTATAATGGTAGATCTGACTTACACAGTTTATAGCCTTCTTTATCATAGCCATGTAGATAAAGGACACCTGTTTCAAATACCCACTTGGGAAGAGAAGATTCAGTCAAGTCTGCAAAAAAGGCATTGGTGTGATATTTATATTAATAAACACACATCATACTAAGATAAAACTCCAAAATACAAAGTCACTATTGGTAATTATAACACAAATATTATGTTGGCAAAATTAAAGGAAAAAGCAGACAACAGAGACAGAAAAAGCCAAAATATTACAGCACTTGAAAGATTGTCGGATTTATTTCAGCACAAGTTTCTGTGAATCAAAACCCACTTCTTCACACAGAGGGGATGCAAATACATGTCATTGTAGTCTTTGTATCTGAAAAAGTAGATTTTGATTCATGAAAGCTCACACTGAAATAAATCTGTTAAACTGCCACAGTATTTCACCTTTTCTCTTTTTCCCCCCTTTAATTTTGCCAACATTCTGAAACAGACTAACAAAGTTACTTTTCAAGAAATTAACACATTATAATGAAAACTGCCCTGAACAATAAAGGAGTCAGTATGGTCCAAACAGACACACACATAAAGATGATTTCACTGAAGATTGAAAGAAATGTGGATATAAGAATTAATTTCAGTCAGAGAATTTTAGTCTATAGATTAGAAGCAGCCCCAAATATTTATAGTACTATCTTTCTCATAATCTGATGTTTACTCATGTACCTGCTCAAATGACTATTAACTATCTGCCTTTTGTTTTCGCGAAGGCTTTCATGGCCAGGATCTAATGTTTGTTGTGGGTTTTTCCGACTCTTTGGCCGTGTTCTTAAGGTTGTTCTTCCTGACGTTTCGCCAGTCTCTGTGTTTTTTATTTAATCCTCTTTAACATTACAATGTAATTTGTTCAGACAAGAATTGGTTTTAGAGGTTTGTCACAATATTGTTTATAATGGAACTCAGATATTAAAAGATGACAGTTTTTCAATTGGACATTGAACATCTTACCATGAACAGCATATTCCTTCCTCCACTGAAAACTTTCATCAATCATCTTCAGTGTATCATCCATAACATCGTGTCGCCAAATTAGGAAATTATCCACCCAGGTGTCATCTTGCTGTAGTCTCTCTAAATCTCTGGAATCGTATTTATCTGTCTTTGCTGAGCCACAAAATAAAAATAGTATTATCAAATCATTTAGAAGCTGGGACATAAGGCAATGTTTCTACCAGTCAAAGCAACAATTTAATTTTACCAGAACGTTCACGAAATATTGTAGAAAAGCTTTTTCAACTTTATAGTGATTCATAATTATTTGAAAATTTGTCTTGAACACTCAAGCACACAAAACACACTGTAACCTTTCTGATTTCCATCTTTTCTCACATTGCCAAGATACAGAGCCACAAGTAAAAAATGGGAGTTTAATGGCACATACATTTACAGTGGTGCCTCGCTAGACGATGATAATCCATTCCACTGAAATCAGTGTTTAGCGAAATCATTGTCTAGCGAAAAGCATTTCCCCACTGGAATGCATTGAAACCTGTTTAATGTGTTCCAATGGGGAAGAATCGTCACTGTCTAGCGAAGACTGGCCATAGGAAAGGTGCTTTGTGAACCGCCAATCAGCTGTTTAAATCACTGTCTTGCGAAGCTTAGGTCCCGAAAACACCTGTTTTGCGAGCAGGGAGGGAGCTGTCAAAATCGTCATCTAGCGAAAATTAGTTTGCGAAGCAGGGACCAAACATTGTCTAGCGAAATTCCCCCATAGGAATCATTGTTTTGCCAATCACTATAGCGATCAGAAAAAGTCAATGTCTAGCGAAAAAACTGTCATGCGGGGTAACTGTCTAGCGAGGCACCACTGTATACATAAAGATCTTATTTCCAAACTAAGTGCAAACATATTTGTAAAGTGTAACAGTAAGAGGAACAGATTTTAATTCAGGCTTCCTACAAATGTAAACCACTGACACCCAAAGTACAAGACTATCAGTGTCTTATACTGGATGTAACGCAACAAGCTTTGAAAGTGAGTCTAAGAGGAGAGTTTGTAAAAACTTAGTATTTAATTTGTAAAATCTCCAAACCAAACAGTGTTTTTGTGAAAAGCATATCAGACTAATGAAACCATCAACAATAATTAAGATACTCTTCACTTCTTCAGATGAATCTGAAAAAGTGGGCTATAGTCCATGAAAGTTACATTACTTAATTCTCAAGTTTCCACAGGACTCTTTGTTACTTTCTGCTGCCATTGTAAGAGCTGAAAACTCAAACTTGAAGGAATTTCAGAAAAATGCAGTACTTCTAAGGATGTCATTTTCCCAATTCACACTCCTTTAGGTTACTTTATCAGAGGACATTTAGCTACCTTATACCCAGTTCTCTAAGACTTCTAAAGAACTTTTTTTAATACTTCAGCATGTACTAAGCAAGAAACACACCAGTGTCTTGAGAAACACATTTTCTCAACACATGGAAAAACTTGTTTTCAAAGCATAATCTGATATGAGTAAGGACATTTACCTTTAATATTAATTATAACTGTAGAAAACCAATCTCCACCTTACCTCTGTACTTTTTAGTATGCAGTGTTTCAACACCTATTTATTTTATTAACAATGGCAAAACTGACACTGAAGATGCTATTTTGCAAATGAGCTATGTGTGAGGAAATGTACTAGCCTTCTAAACTCATCTGAAACTTCCAATACATGCAGTTTACTAATCCAGTCAATGAATGGTACAATTTTGCATTTCTTTCCACAAAAAAGTAAACTGATTCACATTTATGCTCATTATTATTTATACAACACACAGAAAGTGAACAATAAGGACAAACAGATTCTCACTTTACATTAAAGACTAAAAATTTATAGTGTAATTTTAGCACACTCACAGGAAAGTAAACTCCACAAACCTCAAGTGAACTTACCAAATGAACCAATCAAGACTACACTGATTATGGTATATATATTTATGCCACAGAACATTTGGTGGTGGGCTAGTGTAAGAATGGCCCTAGTAGAGGAAGTGACCAAACTAGACACAGGAAGTCATAATGTGCAAAGTTATAACTGGATGAGCAAAATACTTCCAAGGTGGAGGCAGATTCTTGAAGTTTCATTTATATTGCTCAATAAGTTTCAATTATATTGCTCAGGTATGACAGTGTGTATCTGTTTACTTGTTTTTTTAAAAAAATCTACACATAAGAAAAGGGAAGAAATGGATGGAAATGAAAGAAACATGTTCCTCAGTTTTAACAAATCTTCTGGTCTCATTCTTTATATACCTGATCAATGTATACAATGTCAGAAGTTCATAAAACCTTGCAGATAGCCACTTGTCTCAAAGTGTACACTAAAAGTCATTTTGGAAACCAAGTATGACAATCTGATTGTAACAGTACAAACATACACAGTCTGGACTTAATGCTATCCATGCTATTAAGTTGGCTTTTCTTTAGACTACAAATCAGTAACTTAAGAACTTGTGAGCAGTCAGGGCTGGTTCAGGCAGCAATAGTGATGAAATAGGAAGGCCACTGCAGTCAGTAAACTGGACTAAGCATATGGAGGAATGTGACAGCTAAATAGCTGACAACTAGTAAACAGATGTCACCAGCTTGCAGAAAATAACTGGTTTCTTAGATCAACTATTTAATTAGTGTAAACAAGGGAGTTTCAATGGCATATAAAAGAATATGCTACTCAGAATCTTGTTATGCCTGTATGCTTAACTCCATCAATACAACTTTCAGCAACAAGTTTTCACAAGAAGTCAATATCTTTATTCCCTATTAAAAACCAGCATTTCCTACTGAAGTGCCCACACTGACTTCTTAACTTGTTCGAATTCACCTCTGAAAGTTGCACCATCATAAATATGAAATTGGATTCTGAATATTATCTACTTATTTAGCTATTTATTTAAAACACTTAAAATAAAAAGGATTTTTCAAAAAAATAAAAAGGAATTTTACTAATATCTTTCTTACAAAACACATTTTCATTTCTCAGACACCCAGTAAGATAAAGGTAAAGGTTCCCCTTGACAATTTGTCCAGTCATGTCCGAATCTAGGGGGCGGTGCTCATCTCCGTTCCAACCCACAGAGGTAGCTTTTGTCCGAAGACAATCTTCCGTGGTCACGTGGCCAGCGTGACTAGACACGGATCGCCATTTCCTTCCCACTGTGGTGGTACCTATTTATCTACTTGCATTTTGCATGCTTTTGAACCGCTAGGTTGGCGGGAGCTGGGAGAAGCGACGGAGGCTCACTCCATCACGTGGATTCGATCTTATGACTGCAGGTCTTCTGACCTTGCAGCAGAGAGGCTTCTGCAGTTTTATTCCACTACTGTACTGATATTTTAAATTGTGTCTAAACTATTGCTCATACAGAAGCCACACAATGCAATAAGAAGGATACATGGACAAAATTAACTATCAAATCCAAAGAAACATGAGGCATTATCTAATGCGTACAAATCCAAAACTTCCAATACATACATTAACATTAGGCAGCAAAATTCCAATCCTTTCTGAAGCTAAAACACATCATTATCTCCTGAGCAAGATCTGAAAAGTACATTGATGGCCTAAACAGGTCTAAGTCTGATCAAAACTGTTGGTGGAACTGTCTCAGAATCCCATACAATTATTTTTAAATCGGCTGAAGAAATATACAGGGTGAAAAAGTTAAAGCAATCAAGGAAACTCCTTTTACAAACTCATCAAAATGGTAGGTTACTGAACAATTTTAGGTTAAAAGCTATCCTGACAATAAGCAAAATAGCAGGATAAAGGATAAAAGAAAGTTGTAAGGGTACATAAAAATATAGTAGTTCACATAATTAAGTTATCTGTTCTTCTGCATCCAAACAATCAAAGCAAGCAGAAAGTCTTTCAATAAGCTGATTCATGGTAAGGAGAAAACTGGTGTAAAGTTTCCCATAGCTTTGACGTCCAGATTATCTGCTATCCTGAGAATGCTATAGTACCAAGGGTGCACAACACAATTACAGAATATAAAGAAATAAAAACCTTTTAACATTACCCACCTGATACATATTCTGACTCAAAACGTCGTCTGGTTTCACTTATTAATGCAGCCCTGTTGCCCTGTTGAAAGAACAGTATGACATGACAAACATCAAAAAATGCCACTTCCATCACTTTTCCTATTCTCAAGTGGGGACAGACTTCAGATTTAGCAGATCTATTTCACTTTCATTAGAACACCAACTTAGAGCCAGACCAGAAAAACAAGAGGGTCACTTTGAAAACATTCTGAGCCCAATAACTTATTTTCAGATCAATATGAGAACTAATCTGAACTTGGAAGTCTTTTCACATATTTTGCTATACTATTGTTAGATGACACTTTCTGGGATTAGCCAAATTTTCCCAAACGTTAACAAAAGGGCTCCTTGGCCTATTTAGCAGACACAGTGGGCTCTCTAAAACATACTTTTAAACAATACACAATTTCAAGGGAAAATTTGCTACCATCAAACACAAGAACCCAGCTCATGCATTAATTACCAGGCCAAGTCATCCCTCCTGCTCTTTGTGGCAACTTCATTTTCCGTCTTAGAGAAGTAACAAAGACATGCTGAATATCATAAATCAGTACTATTATCATTATCAGATGTTACCATTACAATCATCCTGAACATTGTGGAATGACTTCGGTTTTTCTCTAATGCAAAAGCAATGTTCACTTACATCTTAAACACACCCACTTCTGAAACAATACAAGACTTTTAACTACAGAGAATTTGAAAATCCCCTTTCCTAAATAGTAGTTTAGAGACAAGAAGTTTTGTCGTTTATACCAAAAGCAAGATGGGAAGCAGAAATACATTTTTTAATTTTATTTTTACTCTTATGAAAAGTCCTGGCCTAGATGTTGAAATTCGGTTCTCTCCGCCTCACGGAAAATGCTGAACAGCCGCTTGAAAACCATCGGCCTTGGACTCCCAAGAACATCGACTACTTTGAAAGCGGGGGACACCTGTGGCCTGACACGCTTCACAAAATGAGCAACAGGGCGCAACTTTTCAAACACCGAAGGGGGATATCCTGACTCAGGTCAATGAGTTGGCCTATAAACCAGACGATCCATGGGGCCTATCCCCCACTTCTCTCCTACCAACCCACAGTAAGAGACGTGTTTCTGTCAACATCTCTTCGGTAATTATCCTTGGGCCGCCTGCCCACCCTACAATGTCCCTCGCCGGCACCTCACGTTCTCTTCCCAAACCTAAGCAAGCCCTGGAGGTGGGCGGGGGGGGGAAGAGAGAGAATTACTATGGAGACAAAAAAAGGAGGGGAGGTTCCCCCCTCCCCTTGGTGCTCCCCTCCCAACCGTTTTAACAGCCCAGACTGGCGCGCGGCTACTCACATCCGCCATGGTCCTGCCCGCCGCACTAACACACTTGAGGCAGCGCGAGCGAGCGAGAAACAACGAATGAGAAGAAGAGAGCGAAAGAGGAAGAAGGGAGGGAGCGCGTGACGCTCGCTGAGGTAAGCCCCGACCGGCACCAGTGGGCGTCGCGCGCGCAGGGAGGAGGGAGTAGCCCTCCTAACCACAATTGCTGCCGCGAACCAATCCTCTTCGTTTCCCTTAACGAACAGCCTCGCCCGTCCCTTATCTCAGTTTCGTTCTCCCCCCAGCCCGCTGCCGCCGCGCATGCGCCCGCCCCAAATCACAACCTTCCACTTCCTTGTCTCTCGAAGCCACGCCCACCTGTTTCCCGACGGACTTCTATCCTCTCCTCATACCCGCCCCCTTCAGTTAGTCGCGCCCTATTGCTCTTGCCATCGCCCAATGACGTTCGGGTCGCTGCGTAACGTAGCCGAACCTCCCTCATTTGCCCGTCGGCATTTGGGTTCCCAGAAGCCCTTGCGTGGCGGGAGGTTTTGAGGTAGGAAATCCCGCCGCTGTGGGTTTCTCTTAATGGAGTTTTCGGGGATAAGGAAGAAGTCCTGTTGTTAGGCTAACGTGGTGATTTCTGTAAATGAAACTTGCTTCGAAGTAAGTACTGTACACTTCAAATGATGCTCTGGCAACTATCACGGTTCTTGAGGAATTTGGGAATCGGAGGCGGAAAGTGAGGTCTGGTTTAGATGAGGTGGGATTTTTGGGACGTAGTGGCTTGCCAAGAATGGACTCAAGGAAATCGGGCTTTCACACCAACACAGCCCTTCAGGAGAAGACAAAGAGGAGCAGGCAGCCTTGCACCTACGCCTGTGTAGTCTGTGCCCCTCAAGACATGCCGTGGAAGATGTTACCTGCCAGAAAATCTCAGGGTTGCCCATCATTGGGCAAAAATTGCCTGATATATTTATTAATTGTATTATGGTGATTCTGGCATGAACGAAGGAAGTCAAAAGCCACACCAGATGGCTCAGGTTTGATTGTTGTAATGTTGCCTGTGGTTTATCTAGTTTTCTCAGACTTGGAATTTAGACTGAACTCACCATTTGTGCAAATGTTTATGGAACTGTAAGCTATACAAGCTAGTTATAGTTGGCAATCCTGGTGCTGTAAAGAGGAGTTTAAATTAGATTGCGAGTCTAAACTAGGGCTTGGATCAAAGTGATGCAATAAAATTCCTTTTCTTTAATGGTGAATAAATATGATCACATATCAAACCAGTATTCAAAGACTACATCATTTAAACATCTGCCTATCCTTGAAAACATGTACACAGAACACAAACAGCTAAAATGCTGGCTCAGACATAGTACTGTAGCACTTTCAGACTGATACAAATACCAAGGATGAAAGGATTTTTTTTTGTTTGATACACTTAAAAGGAGTTTTGACTAATGAACCTTTTTATGCAACTTGGCAAACCATTGTCGAAGTATGTTCTTCTCACTAACTAGAGTTAAAGTTACCTCAGGAAGTATAGTACCTAGTCTACTGCTAGACCCTTTGGCACGCTGTTTCTTCAATTACCACAACCATCATTGGCCACTAGTAAGATTGGTGATGCTGCTGAAATTGAGTGGTAATAGCACCACAAAGAAGGCCAGCATCTTTTACTGTTTCCTTCCCTTCTGCTTCACTTCTTTTCATTTGATGATTTGTCCTAGGGACACTGATAGGTGCTTTAAAATTGGATGTTTTCCCCTACATATTGGCCAAGTTCTCATAGGAGATAATAACTTGCAACATATTCTTATTCAGTAATTGATGATAAGATTTTCTGCTTTAGTAGTTCCATTTATCTGACTAAACTATGATGGTCAATATCAAGCAAAGTAAATGAATGAGCAAGACTTGTTAAGTCAACTGTTACATAAGTCCCACGGAGTCATTGAGTCAGTTCAAGTTTGGACTAACAGTTGGATTTAGCCCTAAGCTATTTATTAGCAGAAGAATGAAGAAGGATGAGTGCTCCGCCTCTTTACTCTGTTTGTAAATCTGCATGTGTGATTCTGCTGATATTTAGTCAATGAAACAGATTTTATTACTATGGCTCCTTGCTACCACTCTCCTTCCAAATACTTTCTTTTTACTACTGTGCATTAATCCGTACTGGACTTAGTAGAGCTGCGTAGAATTTGCCTATGAAATACAACACATTTTGTTCTTAAATGCTCTTTTCATTCGAGCAGAACATGGGTGGGGAACTGTACTGGAGGGCTGGATTCTGCCACTCCAAGCCCTTCACTGGTGGAATACATCAGAGGGCTGGGCCATACCTGAGGCTTCTTGGCATCATAAAGTTCCAAGCCTGAAACACCAACTGGACCTTTTTCACCCAGCACTTCTGCTGGCAAGCAACTTCCATCTTTCTCTCTTATGGGGAGGGGAGTCAAAGAGCAAAATAGTCTTAGCTGGCACTTTAGGGAGCAGCTGAGCACTTCATTTCACCCTATCCTGTCTCCCTCCCTGACCGTGCAAGTAAAGAGAGGGAAGGCTGTGTAATATTTGCCAGTTCAAACAAGCTAGCTGAGCCCAGAATTGGCCAGCTCTTGGAAGCATTGACTGATGATGGGATAAGGAGCACCTCTTATCTCTCATCAATGGCTGGACATAGCTGTAGCTCCTCTTTGTCTTCAGTGTAGGCCAAGATTTTGGAAATGCCCTTGACAGGTTAGGTTCTGATCCCTTGTTGGTGAACTTAGGTTTCATTCTCTGGCTAAAAGATTGCAGTCTTTAGCAAATTTATAGAAGTGTGCTACTTACATTTGGACAAACCTGTTTAGGATTATGCTGAAAAAGGCTTCAGGATTTAAAATGTACTTATTAAACTGAATTATCAGTTTAACTCAATATGCCTCTGATCTTTTTTATGGAATTACTTAATTGCCATCATTATCATTATTAACTTGAGAGCTGGAAGGAAGATGATTAGTAATATATTGTAATATTACCATTTTGTTTTTAGATTGAGAAAATACATTTTGATTCAAATGCTAAATTGAACAGACGAATCTTCTGAATGGAAAAAAAGGCCAAGTCTTCGTGTGATGGAAATGTTTTGAGGAAAAACATGTTAAGCGATAAACAAGATAGATTTTTATCTTATAATGGGGAACTTCTCATTTTCTGGATGTCAAAAGGAAAATCCTCACAGGGTGATGATACTGAAATGAACAAATTACACGTCAGACGAATGAATTTTAACACTGATAGAAAATTGTTTGTTGAAATATCCACTGCGTCATTTAGTATGTCTGGGGAAGGTATTGAAATTATTCATTGCAGCTGTGCATCTTGCTTCAGGACTGGAATTCTTTATCCCGCTATTCTATTGAAAAAGAAAAAAAGAAAGAACATTAAATATATTTTACTCTTCCTTTACAACTTTAACCAATTTGAGGTGGTTCTTCACTTTAAACTGGATTATGAACTCAGAGAACCAATAAAAATACTTGCTGGTCCAACAGTTTTATGGAGTTGTGAAAAAAACATTTTTTATATTTCTCCCCGAACGGATACTATTTTATGTGCCCCTGTTAAATTTTCTTCCATCAAATGGGCAGGCGAGATTGAAGGCGAAGGCATTGTAGTTTTTGGAACAAGAGCTGTTGGTTTGCCAGAGCAAAGGAGTGGACAAACTGTTTTCCAATCAGATGCACTTGTCTGGAATAGTGAGTTTATTTCCTATGCAGTAGAGAAAGAGAAAATGCTGACTAGTGCCAGTTTTCTGCCTCATGCTTATAGCAGTGTCATCTCTTGTATGCATGTTTTCAAAGCTGAGTCCACAAGGAATAAATTTAGGACATCAGTTATTGCAGTCACGTGCAAAAGCCAGCTTGTTGTCTTCCAAGATGGTCTACCTAAAGATGTTCACCAGCTTCCATATGAGCAGCCTTGTTCGCTACAAATAGTTGTGGTGGAAGGAAGCAGCCAGTTGGTGGTTGTGGCCTTTGCTTCAGGAGATGTCTGTGCTCTATGGAAACATAATCTTCAGGTACTGATGTTCTGCTGTTTTTCTGCTTTGAATTGTGCTGATTCTGATTGTGTACTGTTCTTTCCATAATGTATTAAGTAGCGTTGTCGTCCAAATCATGAGAATTCTGATGCACCCATGATTTTCCTGCTTCAGTGTTAAGAGCAATTCCAAGCACATAATATTTGCAGAAGTTGGAAAACTTCCCATGCCATTTGTTGTTCGGATGAGAGCAGTGTTGGTTATTCATACTAGGAACAGTGCTGCACATGTTAAATAAATCGTGCTGGGGTGCAAATGAGTCTAGGCATTATTCTTTTTGACCTGATTTAAAAGTGTTCCTTTTAATCCAATTTCTGTCAAAGCTGATGTGAGTAACTCAGTGGGGGAGGCTTTCTGATCAGGTTCAGAGGCACTTTTGAAATAATTCCTTTTTGACAATTGAATGGTGCCACTGAAAATAGATGTTGGGTCTGCATTCTACTTATTCTCAGCACAAATGAAATCCTGACCAAAAATGCAAAATGAGATACTTGAATATTTGTTGCATCAAAGTAAGTCTGTCATGATAAACATTTTGGAAAAGCATCAAGCATTTTTAAAGCCATACTTAGAGAAGTAAATCTTCTATTTATTTAAATTATTTAAGTCAGTACATAGTTCATAAAATGCCTATACTCCATCTCTGAAGAGTGGATTTACACAACTTTGTTCACTTTGATTGCTTCAACTTTTCATTGTCATCTCTATTGCAGGTAAACATGATAAGAGACATCTGGGTAGAGTTGGCGGCATATAAATTAAATAAACAAACAAACAAATAAATAAATAAAATAAAGGTTCCCCTTGACAATTTTTGTCCAGTTGTGTTCAACTCTAGGGGGCGGTGCTCATCCCCGTTTCCAAGCCATAGAGCCAGCGTTTTGTCCGAAGACAA